TGCTAAAACTATGGACTTTTAAAGAACAATCCAGCATGGCAGTATTTTCTAAACGTTTAGGATATATACGTTTTAGAATATTTAATTGCAAATATTGAAATTTGAGTTATACTAAGTGGCATATAAATCCGAACACCCAGTTTAAATGGTTTTATTTTAATAAAACTTTGTACAAGTACTTAATGAAGCATAATAAGTAAATGATAAAAATTTCAAAATGATTGCACTGCTTTAAAGCCCTTTGACCTCTAGTAATGTGTGGATACACCCTGATGTGCTACGCATTCTCCAACGCGCCTAGGCATGCTTCTGATCAGGTGGTCAATATCCTCCTGTGGTATCTCATTCCAGGCAACCACCAACTCCTCTCGAAGTGCTTCTAGAGTCTGAGGAGGACGTTGCAAATTGAGCAATATCCTACCCATCATATCCCACACGTGCTCAATTGGGGATAAGTCGGGAAATCTTGGCGGCCATGGTAACAATGTGACATCATTATCTTGAAAGAAGTCTATTGTGACTCTTGCAACATGTGGTCGGGCATTATCTTGTTGGAAAGTTGGATCTGCCAGGGTGTCAAGATGGGGTAAAAGATGAGGTTCTAGAACTTCGTGGATATAACGCTGCGCGTTCATGTTACCTCTGATGAAGATTAAAGGTGACCTGGAACCATAAGCTATAGCACCCCAACCCATAACTCCAACAGTGTTATGAACATGTCTTTCAACAAAAAACTGTAGATTCCTCCTTTCACCACGTCGCCTTCTAACCCTGGCACGACCATCGTGCATGCCTAAACAAAATCGAGAATGGTCACTAAAGATAATACTGTTCCATTCCTGATCCCAGAGTGACCTTTGTCTGCACCCCTCAAGGCGATTACGTCGGTGTTCTCGAGTTAAAGGGAGGACCCAGTGTGGCCGGTATGAAAACAAGCCAAAACTTCTCATTCGTCGGCAAACACTTCGCATGCCAATAGGTCTTCCGTGTTCTGCAAACCATTCATTTCCAATGGACCTGGTAGTGGAGAAACGGTCCCTTAAGGCCAATAATCTTAGGCGGCGATCTTCACGGTCTGTTGTTCTACGGCGGCGTCCAGTGCCCCTTGCTCTTTGCGTACGGCCTTCTCGAAGCCATGCCTGACAACACCTAACCACAGTGTCTACACTTCTTTGCACTCTAACTGCAATTGCCCGAAAAGAAAGTCCAGCTTCCCGAAGTCTCACTATACGGCCCCTATCAAACTCACTAAGTTGACGAAATCGTACAGGTCTCCGTACTCTAGGCATCGTAACCGATCGTAAAGGATGTCAAGGACCAAAATCCGCCAACGTTGATTCTTTACTGCGGCTGAAATATTCATTTTTAGAGCGTTAGTGAATTAAAAAAAAACAGTATAAAAACCAGAATGTCCAACTGATAAGGCTGAACATTTTTTCACTTGTTATTTACAGTAAGATAAATATATTCACCAACTTTTATTAAAATAAAACCATTTAAACTAAGTGTTCGGATTTATATGTCACTTAGTATATTTTCAGTGTAGAAAAGGCTACTTATAACCTTCGACCTCTACCAGACCACCGAGTATCCTGGAACATTTCTTCTGTTACCCCCAATAGTTGTCGGATCAGTCTTTTCGCAAATATTACATTACGTTTGATTTAATAATTGGGGCCAGGAAAGTATCCGTATACTTACGCCACCGTTACCTTTTTAATACAGTGTGTAGCCTCCCGGACTATTAAAACGCGTAAAAATGCTCTGCTTTGCATATGAGGAAATGCAAATGAAAACGGAACTCCATCTAGCAGAGAGCCCCCATGCTTTCCCCGTATTGCGAATTCTTGCATAATCAGGATATGCGAACGGGACCGTTGTGCCGGGATACGTCACTCAAAAGTCTGTTCGAGTAGAAAACGATAAACGTTAAGGCGGTTTTATTTAATACAACACAATAACTGCATTTTAATATTTGATGAACACCCGCTAGCATTTATTTAACCTTCTTTTTCTTCTCAAAGGTGGCGTCACGTAGATTGACCCAGCACTTCACACAAAACGCTGTCATCAGTTCATAAAGGATTATGTTTGAAATAAGTTATAAATAAGCCCTCTGAAAAAAGTTGTCTGCGAAAAACATATACAATTAGTCTGTAATCCTCAGAGATTCGTGTGATGCAAATACTTTCCTTTTTTCTAGTTTTGTGAACAAATCTACAGGGTGCGGCAGAGAGGACGGACGTTTTTGGGATGGGTAGTACTCTCCGCCTCCGTCTATGAGAGGGGTTGGGAGGAGGGTACCGTTTGACTCGTGAGGTCCCAGCATTATTTTACCAGTTCTCGTTATGGAGCCTTGGACGGTGTAGCATCGCGTTTTCGCCTATGATTGTATGGTCCGAAATAATGAGTCAGTCATCGTCGTACAGCGTGCGTTTCGTCGCCACTTCAACATTCATCGGAATAGAGCTGTTCCCTCTCGAAACAACATCCTTCGTTGGGTTGAATCACTTCGCAGGCGTGGTGAACTGATCAACAGAAGACCAAGAGGAGCGCCGCGAACAGTTCGAACTCTGAAAATGTTGAACGCGGTCGACAGGTCTTTCTTCGCAGTCCGACTCGATCTGCCCGGAAACATGCTGCTGCACTACGCCTTAGTGATCTTTCGGTAAGGCGAATTTTGCATATGGATCTCCGCTTTCACCTCTACAAATTGGCCATTGTGCAACAGTTACAGCCCGGAGATTATGCACAACGAATGAACTTCGCACGTGAGATGGAAGCACTGATCGATCAAAATGAGAACCTCATTTTATTTATGAGTGACGAAGCCCACTTTCACCTAAACTGCATGGTTAACCAGCAGAATTATCGTTGTTGGTCTAATGAAAATCCGCAACAGTTACACGAAAGACCGCTGCACAGCCCAAAAGTAACGGCTTTGTGCGCTGTATCGCAAACTTGCATCATTGGCCCTTACTTCTTCGAAGACGGTAATGGTCGTGATGTTACGTGTTCCAATCCGACGTGTGTGGTTCCAGCAGGATGGGGTGACCGCCCACACAGCCCGAGCATCCATGGACGTTATTCACCCTCTCTACCCTGGTCGCCTTATTTCCAGGTTTGGCGATGTTCATTGGCCTCCTCGGTCCCCAGATTTATCCATATGCGATTTTTTCTTATGGGGACACCTCAAGGCTAGAGTATACGCGAACAAGCCCCGAACTCTGGACGAATTGAAGGGCGAAATTCGCGTGGAAGTCGTCCAAGTTAAGAGAGCGATGTTGGAGAGAGTCTACGCGAACTTCCAAGAACGCCTCCAGCACTGCATCAACGATTTCGGCCACCACATGCCTGATGTGATTTTCCACACTTGACTGTCTCAAATGCTATTTCATTGTGAACCTGATTCCATTAATAAATTTGTTTTCGAGTAAAAATTAACTATTTTATGATTTTTTTAAAACCGTCCATCCTCTCTGCCGCACCCTGTATATAAAGATAACGAAGACAGAATAGTAGCAGAAGAAAAACAGATTAAAAATGTAATCGGTGCGTAGAATGACCGGGGTTGATAGGATATAAATATCCTGACGCCAAAAAATTGAGATATATCTACCCTTCTCCACCCTATAACCCCCAGCCCCCGATAGTTAGCCCGTACAAAAAATTTCTGAGAATGAATGAGTCAAACGACGGGCAATAGCAATTTTTTTCGTTTTTTTGCCTCTAGCTTTGCGGCCACTAGACCAATTTTCAAAAACTACAGCTTTTTCGACCTTGGCCCTGTAGCAACCTAGTGTGAAACATTTGATCAGAAAGTAGACAGACTGACAGACCGCCTGACCGACGGAAATGAGTCATATAGTTGACATGTCATGACATCCAAAAGACATAATTCGTTTTCAAATATTTTTCGCTTAGAATCCTTCCACGCTAGGAGCACACTCCGGATGTCGTTCACACATGGCCATCTAGTTCAAACGCAAAACTTCGCTGGTATCTCATTTACCTCATTTACCTAAGAGCTCTCAGTAGCAAAGATTAATATCTCCAGGGCTATATTAAAAGTTAATGAGTACTCCAACATAAGAACACCTATATTAAATTTTTAGCGTTTAATAAAGTACATGATCATGAACCCGGTCTTTCGGTCTCGGATACTTCTTCACGAGAAACCCTTTACGGAACAGTTTTATTACTTAAAAAGTTCATTATTAGGTAATTAGCGACGTTTCGCTTGTTTCAATGGCGCAGTTTCAGGCAAATTGGAAATGAAAAGGACACTTCCGTTTTTATTAAACGAAAAGTAGAGATTAGATCAGCGAAGTTAAAAAATGGCGTCAAGTTGATACATTTCCCATGCGTTCAAAGAGGCCTCTGATAAAATGTTGCATGTAGTGAGATTCCATTTATCAATCAATCAATCAATCAATCAATTCTTTATTCATGTCACAATACATAAAATATGTTTACATACGTCAGTAGATCAAATGAGAATTGCATTAGAATTAAAACAAAGGGAGTGCTAATGATCATAAAAAATTACAAACAAGTACACCAGCACTCATAAAGATATAACGCTAACATAACATATTAAGATTTATAGTTAAAATTTATGTCTTAAAAACTCTACAAACGTGTAAAATGAGTTATTAATAAGAATTTTCTTGATTTGAACTTTAAAATCTTTGAACGGAAGCGATTTTAAGCCGTCTGGAAGTACATTAAAAAATTTGACCGCCCAATAACCAGGTCCATCTTGACACCTTCTCAGTCGCCGAAAAGGAGGTACTAGATTGTTCTTATGCCTAGTATTGTGCTCATGGACGTCCCCATGAGTTACATAGTTAGAGTTTCTTTTAACGAATAGTAGATTTTCAAAAATATATAAGCAAGGCACAGTAAGGATTCCCAACTTGACAAAGGTATCTCTGCAATCGTCCCTGTAGCCCAAACGGCTCACAACCCTAACTGCTCTTCTTAGCAAGGCGAACAGTCTATGGACCCCTGAAGAAAGCCCCCAAGCCAGAATGGCGTAGGATATATGTGAATGGCAAATGGCAAAGTAAGCCATTCTCAATATGGCTACAGAAACACAAGAAGACAGACTCCGTAGCACATATATACCTTTGGTGGCCTTTCCAGGAACACTGTCAATGTGAAGGCCCCATTGCAATCTTGGATCCAAAGTAACCCCCAGAAACTTGGCTTCACCAACCAAATCACTGTCTCCAGGCAGGCTTCGCATGGAGAACACCATTCTCTTTGTCTTATCTTTATTTAGCAACAGCTTATTGGAGCAAAACCACAGTTCAGCCTCATCCTGCGCAGCACACATAGTGGCAACACAGAGGTAAGTTTTGTTACCGCTATAGCCCGCAGTAATATTTCCGCAAATCCACGCGACCCTTTTCTCACTTTTGGATACACGCTGTAAGTCCCGTGGGTTCAGAGTCCAGAAATGAGAGAAGACCTAGCGGCAGTTTGGAACGCCAGGAGATACGGAGACCAAGTAGGCCACTATCAGGCATTAGCCATATTTTAATCTAGACATCAGAGAATGCAGCCAAATCAACCTTTTTTTGCTCGCCATTTTTTCAAACGCACCTCTTAATGTGGTCCTTATTTGCAATATAAGGCGTTAAGTAGAAAAAATTGTCAGATTGCAGCAATCAGCGTGTCCGTTCATCGCAGCCTGATTCCTTTGGAGCTGGAGTCCAAGCTGTTTGTCGTCAATGTTTGATCAGTGCTACACTAGCTCTTCATACCTACTTCAAACACTGGAAAATACATGAACCCAGTAGTTGAACTTTAAAGAGAAAAAAGTTCTTCAGGTTACAGCAATAAACATTTTCCGATTTATATTTTTGTTGCAGTTCCTCCATAATCGAGTAACCTCGTTATTATACTCCAAGCCCAGAGCTCATACAAGGTCTGGGGTTGAAGTGGAGACAAGGAAACATATAATCCGAATTCAGTACAAGTTTGAACTCGCTCGAGTCGTTTGGTTATCTGTAGCGATTTTTTTGTGAAACGGTGTTTCTTATTGAAGACATATTTTTTCTTGAAAACGAAATAAGATTTCATACGCAGAGACAAAGAAGTTGTATCATTACTTCAATCCAAATAAAATATATATTTTTTAAAAAAGCCAATGGCCTTGTTTGTTTTTGTCAATATTATTCGTGAAACTGCCCCCCGAGGTGCAAATGGAACTCATAATTATTTTGTAGTGCCAACTTAGCGTCTTATTGCAATGAATAACCCTACCAGAAATCAACAAAAATAGCTTTACTTATTCAAAAAAAGAAAATTTTCAACACCTTGTATACTGGAAACCATACATTATTGAACACATGTTTATATGAGCTCATATACTTGATATTGTTCAGGCATTCACACCTGTAATTACAGCCCATCATTGAAGCACCCTGTATAATATAAGTACTAACAACATTCCAAATTTCAAATGGTCCACCCTATAAATTCAGCCCGCAAGCTACATCCAAGCTTAAATGCCATAAAAGTTTTGTTAAAGCATATTTCCAGGTGCTGAAATATGCACATATTGGGCCGATGGGTTAATTATATGAATTTTATTCAGTTTGAATAACAAATTATAGTCATAGAAATATTTCGTGAATTCCTAATGCATATCATATTAAAAGCGTTTTGGATATACAACATTCTTGCTTTATCGCCTTGATTTACTGTCCGTGTTGTTCATGATTTATGTTAGTACAATAGAAAAAATATACCGGATAAGTAAAAGGAAATAAATATTTCTCTTTGAAATAGGAAAATGACATTTAAGTAAATAGTTGTGTTTTTTGTATAAAGTAGGAGTAGTATCGTACTGACACGATATTTTTCCTGATGGGTGACCCCGAATTTATCTAAGATATAAATCAAATAGAAAACATAGTTTTTCTTCTTTAGACTGTTGTTTTTTATTGAATTGTAAAGGACAGAAAATAAGGTTATGTATCTTATGAGGATATGGTCCTAAAGGATCAGGCAAATTTCCTGCTGGCAAATGCAGTAACAGTATTGATATATTTCGGAATAAGAAGAAGGATAGAAAAAGATCAGTGAACAGAAAAAGAATTGTATGATTGTGATTTATATCGCTAAGCCATCAACAAATATGTAACTGATTTATACTGATATATTCTTTATTCTTGTGTAAGAACAAAATCTTAATTGATTTACAATTATTTGGCGCCTATTATCAAGAAAAGTCATTTCAAAAATACCATTTTTGTAATCATTTTCAACTACATCTACAAGCGCGTAAAGTAAAGAATGCTATACAGGGTGGCGCATCGAAATCGAAACATACGCATTTACTGGCAGCTCAGTTTTTTTTTTTGGAAAAACGCTCAGACCCGTCGATCTTGTTTTCGAGGGGGACACAAGTTTGGTAAAAAATCACGTTAACACGTGCAGCCCCCTAGGGGCTTATTTTTAAGGTCTTTCAATTCCCTTTATAATGATGTAAAATACATGAGCTGCAGTTCAGTAGTTTTGAAGATTTATTGATTTAAATCTTAATGTAGACTTTAATAGGTACATCAGATTAGTTTGATTAGAAGAAATTTGACTAAAAGAATTTACTTAATAAGTAAATGCTTTTCTTCACTACGCCCATGGTTTGTTTATCATTTTGTTGTTGAAAATAGCTATTGGAGCGTTTTTTTGTGGCAAAAAAGTTATTTTTTGAAGAAAGACAAGGAAATATCTCGTACTTATTTTAAATAGGAATTTAGTACATAGTTTGCGATTGATTTGACCAAACTTTGTTGCTAAAATAACATGTAACGCTTTATTACATAAATTAACCATAGTATATTCCACAGCAGAAAGAGTTGAAATTATCGAAATATTTTTCGGAAATAATCAGTGGGCTAACAGAAGAGCAGAAATATTTACTGAGCGACATGAGAACAGTAACGTGCATCGAAAATATGTTCTAGAACTTGTAGCTAAATTTCGGGAAACTGAGTCAGTTGCCAATAAAAAACGCAACCATAAGGAACGAAGCAATAGAAGTGGGGGTTCTAGGGCAAGTTTATGTAGATCCTACGTTAAGTACCCGCAAATTGGAGACTGTGTGTGGTGTTAGTCGACGTACTGTCCAACGGATTCTAAAGGCCCATAGTTTTCATCCGTATAAATTCACCTGGTACAAGAACTTAATGAAGACAATTTTGATCTTCGATTACACTTTTGTGAAGATATGAGTGAACGAATTATGGACGATAAACATTTTATATTCAACACTTGCTTTTCCGACGAATGTTCCTTTTTCTTAAATGGCGTAGTAAATCGTCGTAACTGCCGATATTGGTACAATTCTAATCCCAGAATTTATCATGAGGTTCATGCACAGCAGCCACAAAAATTAAATGTTTGGGCTGGTATTTTTGGCGATCATTTAGTTGGTCCTTTTTTCTTACCTGGAAATTTGACCGGTGAAATGTATACGTATTTGGAATTACTGGAAGGCGCCATTGACCCTGAATTAATAGCCATAATTCAAAATCAGAATGATCGGCGGTTCATTGCGAATAGGTTGATGTTCCAACAGGATGGTGCCCCACCACATAACTCATTACGTGTTCGACAATATTTAGAACAGACGTTTCCAGATCGATGGATTGATAGGAGAGGTGCCATTGAATGGCCCCCAAGATCGCCAGATTTATCACCTTTGGATTTCTTTATGTAGGGTCATTTAAAAAGCAAAATCTATGCTACTCAGCCAACATCATTAGAAGACCTGCGACAAAGAATTGTGAATGAGTGCCTTCAAATTACTCCTCAAATATTGCAAAATGTGCGGCAACGATTTGAGCAAAATCTTTATTATTGCATGGAGAGTCATGGTGGCCATTTTCAACATTTACTTGCCTAACGGGTCAGTTCATTCTTCATTTTTAAATTACTTTGCTGCCAAATGTATTGATCTCCACTAATGATGATGTATTAGTTTTATTTAAGCTTTAAATCAATAAATCTTCAAAACTACCGAACTGAAGTACATTAATTTTATATCTTTATAAAGGGAATTGAAAGACCTTTAAAATAAGGTGTCACTCGACCCTCTTTTCCATTTAAGATTTTGGGGGTGGTGTCACCTCCGCTTAGGGGGCTGCACGTGCTAACGTGATGTTTTGCCAAATTTGTGTCCCCCTCGAAAACAAAATCGACGGGTCTGAGAGTTTTTCAAAAAAAAAACTGAGCTGCCAGTTAATGCGTCTGTTTCGTTTTCGATGCGCCACCCTGTATATTGCAAAGTAAACATTTTACGATTTCAAGTAGTACTTTTACCATATTAAATATTTTTATCAAATCAATAACTAAATGAGAGCCCGACCTTCGCAAATCCCCTATTGTCAAACATTTTGCTTGGTATAGATATTCTTTCGATTATCCCTCAAGGTGGTACCACCCCATGAGAATCTGCATTGTCTCCAAATTATCTCTCTGCTACATAGTTTTTTCGATCATCTTTAAATAATGAGATCAACTCAACTGACTTTCAAGCATTATCTGATCTACTATACCAAACTCCCTTCTTTTAGTTTGACCCCAAAACCCATGCCGATCATTGCAGCTGATTAGCATAAATCTACTCACATGAAAGAGCAATAAAGCGCGTATCTTTTTTCTTCCAATTCTAATAAAACACTTGTTCTCCGGAACGAATGTGAGTTTGCGTAAGGGCGCAGAGAGTCCTGTATTGTGCACTTGAATGTGTAGGGTCTTTTTTGCTTAATCCTATTTCTATAATCCCCCTTCTCATGGTCGTTGTCCACAGATAATTAAATATCAAATAAAGCAGGTGTGCGCAAATACGGACCTGCATCGAACGCAAGCTGTATAACGAAGTTATAGTCCAGTCGAACAGTAAAAATAATTATTAAAAGCGTTTGTGAACTTTCTCTGAGTTACAATTCCTATTACGATATGTCGCAGATCTCTGCACTTAGAACAAAAGTGATCTCAATGATCTGAGGTTTCTACATATTCATACAATACTGAGCGACATTGTCAATTTTTAGGTGATCTATTACATCGTCATAGCGGATATAGCTGTAGCTTTCGTGAGAGGAAGTACAAATAAGTTGTGATAGCGCCTGACTTGTAGGTTATTTATTCATCCCAGAAGAACAATATCTCGACTACTAAGCCTTCTCGGCCAAACGTGAACACGTAAATAGTTATAATGTGTATATTTAATGG